GAAAGCTTTCAACTCAACCTATTTCAACCCTTGCTTATTCTTAATACAAAGATATAGTCTACTTTAAATCTTATAAGCGGGATCCGGGAACCATTATTGATGATGTTCAATTTGAACTTCAATTCTTCAAGAAACTCGTCTGAATCCTGTTTATTCCGCGGAAACGGAGCAATAGTTAGTGAGAAATAATAAAAACAAAAAAATTCAGTCATTCATACATTCGGACGTAGGTCAATGGACCCATTAAAGAATAGAAGATGGTTCCATTAAAGAGGACAAAAGAATCGACTTGTTCATTAACCTTCCATCAAATATATCATTTGGAAAACGCTCACTATCCCACAGACGTCAGTTGGACGTCTTTTCTTTCGTTCCACCCATAAGTATCTTCAGCTATGGAAGAAATAAGGTTAAAACTTAGTCATCAATCCAAAAAGCATCTCTAATTATTTTCATAAGTATTTTCTTCCTAGAATATTTATTTTCTGAATCGATAGAGTCTTTTAGAATATGAGAAATTTAAGCAACTTTACATTTTTCATGGATACATATTTAATTAATACAACTATTCCATGCTTCAACTTTAAGAAAATATATCAAGTTTTGAATAATTAAATAAAGATTTAGATTATATTTAATACCCAAAAACAAACTGTTTTAATGTTAATGATTCTTATTTTAAATTCGCAATATCGTGAAATATTTCAGATTAAAATTCAGGTGTTTCTCTTATCTGAATGACAGTTTCTCCTTCAAAAAATAATAAAAAAAAATTTATGAAATTTTAGCGTAGAATATATTAAAATATTCCAAAAATTGATAATTCAATTAGACTCTAAACATGAAATATCATTGATATATTGTAATATAAATTAAATAGGTTCAATCATAAGATTTCTAGTTAATAAGATTACACCAAACGATAAATATAGAATTATTTAAATTACTTAGTGTATTCTAGAACGAATCATTGTTAAACAATGGTACTGATATGTTTGTCCTAAGATAAACTGGATTTAGAATGGATAAGAGGGCGAAAGTTCGAACGTCTTGTTTTAAAATTTTATTGGCACGAAGATAAAGGTTACAAGTCACGAGTTAGTCATTGTATGAATCATTTTACTTGAGCTCCAAGTAGAATATATATAAACTATAATAGTAATATGCCTGTAATTATCTAGATTATTGTCTGCAGAAGACAGACGGCAAATTCACTCTTCACTTGGATAAATATGTGGAGCGAAATCTTCAATTGCTCAAAATTGCTTTGAGTCACTTTAACTTTTTAAAATCTCCTTTCTCAAAGTTACTACAAAAATTAAATCGTTAAAATTAATTATTATAATATTAGTATAATCAAGGCCCCAGAGAGAGTTAAGATCTGTCGGTACAAAGATTATTTTGGAACCCTTTTGGAAACATTTTTATATAAATAACATGATATTGAAGCAGAAAATAATCTAGTATAAATGTTAGTCAATGGCTAAACTTATTATTTTTTAATTTTCCCCCTAAGGCTTACTGGAGCCCGACTCTCGTATGGCCTAAGTATATATTTAAAGAAAATAATTTATGAAAGATATTTGTCTATAAGTAACTACAAATATATCTATCGGAAAGGTTTATTAATAGATATGTATAAAATAATACCATTTAATCTAAAAGTAGTATTACATTCAACCGGTAATATTGAGGAAGTGATTCTAATGTCTCCATTCTTTAAGTGAGTAGAACACAGTTCTAAAGTTATAAAGTTAGCTTCACTGTTCACGAGAAAATTTAAGTGAATAAAATAAATATATATGTATTTAAATTTCCTTTACTTTAATAATTTACTAATTAGTAGTTTGTTCATACAAAGCAAAATTTAGTATATATTAATCGCAGGCCCACTAGAAAGATATTTAAAACATCCTGTTCTTCTTAAATCTCGTATTAATATTAGAAGACTGGTTTGAAAATGTTTTCTAATAATATAAGAATATAATTCTGTATAAACTAATCTCCTTCGCTCATGTTTACATTCAATAATACAGTCTTATAAATGACAACAGAGTTAACCGTCTTATAAGGATTTATAGAAGATCATTTTATATTAAAATACAGTTATAATTTATATATATATAACTGATAAAATAATTCTTTCTCCGAAATTCCAGTAAAAAAAAAAATAACGTTTTCAACCCAATGAATTTCGTTTAAAACATGACTCATTTCACTATCCAGGTGTATAATCAATAGGAAATGTATAACTACCGCCTATAAACAGGATAATCTGTAAATTGTTTTGACCCGTGTTAAATATAAATTTCTTTCTATAGCTTTTTAGGGAAAATAATAGTTTTATATCAATTCTAGTATAACAAATGAGACTTTCTAAAATTTTTCCTCCCTCTTTACATTATTCCTGAATGAGGCAATTCACATTTGTTTTCCTTTATATATATATATATATATATATATATATATATATAAG